AACATACACACATGCACAGAAACAAACTGTCATCTCAAATGAGAGGCAGCCAAGTCAAATGCAACTTCATCACCCACGACACCCACATCCTCCAACTGCAAATGATTGTTTGTCCTGTATGATTTTTGTTGACATTTTGTCCCTGTCTCTTTGAATGGTAGCTGCACTTAGCCACCATGCTTAGCCTTTTGGAGACGGATGTGCACTCTAACCTGATGATCCATGCCCCGATTCCCAGAGGCTAAGTGTGTGTGTGTGTGTATGGAAAGGGGTCTGCTGACTTCAACAGCTGGCTTCTTCCAATAGGCTGTCAGCAAGCACATCCGCTTAATGATATCACTACTGCTTGTTGATGTGTGAGGTAAAGAGAGGCAGAGGAGAAGGAGGGCAAGACAATACAAACATACAAATATATATCACTTAATGTCTGCTGACAAATCCCCTGCACTGCTTTGCAATGCTAAAGGAGAGGTTCACACTTTTTAATAATGAGTTATTAATGATTGGAAACAAAAACCACAGTCCTTGTACAGTACACTGTGGCCACAAGGGGCAATTGCTTGATTATTGTAAATGTAAAGTAAAATGTAGCATAGAAATAGCAAGCTGACTTTATAATGTGACTAAAAGCAGCTAAATCTACTTGATGTTTGTTAGCCACTGGTCATACCAGATCAAGTCGAAGCTGTACCTGCAATTACATTGAGTGCATTTATTGCTTATGTGTGTATTGATCTGTTGGAGAAAGACTGTGTTATTTCTTTTGTATGTGTGTTTGCACAGAACATGGACTGATACATCTGTTACACTGGAGTTGCACACTTCAGGTATGTAAAGGAGGCAGGTTGCAGCAACCAATAACTCGCACTGTAAATAAGGGCATGTGAGTATTGTATAATGACACACTTGAAAGAATGGCAGCTCTGTCAGTGTAGGGATAGATTTAAAGGCATTTACTTCCAGACCCTTGCTATCAAGTTTAGTTTTCTGAGATAGTCTCTCTTTTTTTGAATGAGGATGTTTCATGAACTTTAATCAGACGCATTTCTCTCTTTTCAAGCTGGCTCCTGATGTTTGGATTCCCTCTGAACTACACGCCACATAATTTTCCACAAAACTGAACATGGAGCATCAGCACGACTGCAAACTTGTCTGTCCAGTGGGAGCTCACCCCATGTGTTTACATGTGCTGCAAATACACATGTACATTCTCACACACACTCCAGCTTTCTCACAGACTAGCACATTTTGTAAACGTGCCGGGAAACACTCCACCAGCTTAATACGAGCACACTCCAGGCTCTGCTAGACGAGGTGCTGGATATACTGTCAGAGAGACTCCCAGTAGAACCATTTAGCTTTCTGAGGATAGTGCTGTTTAAGTGCCTTCCTGACTGTCAAAAGGACTGCATTTACTTACACTCCCTCCACTGGGAAACACTATATTCTCCGTATTCACTGCACGGGTGATAGTCACTCTTTTGTTTTATTCACCTTTTCTCCTAGACTTGATAGAGGGAGCAGAGTAAAGAGAGAGAGACAGACCAGTCAATCAGGTTCTGGTTTGACAGGCTCCATGTCTTTACCTAATGACACATACCGTGGTAACACAAAACGACAAATGAACCGTTACTTCTCCACTTCCCGTGCCTCGCATTACAACTGCATTCATCAACTGCAACTGACTCTGAGATCTGAGAGCCTAAGCAAACACATGCTCGGGAAAAAAAAAGTAATTTAGGGAATTTGACATCTAAGACAAAAGACCTCCGTCCAATCACAAACACCATTAATCCAAGGACCAAAGAACATTTGCACATATTCCATTCAGGCTCATTAAGAGCTGAGCTCCTTGTTAATCTCCTGCAAAGGTCAGATTCAACAGACCAGTGAATTTGCACTTTTCTGTTGGAGTGCAGCTGAAGAGCGGGCACAAGAAGACCAGTGAGTTTGCCCTCCTGGTCCCAGAGTATTCGCAGGTGGACCACAGGTAAAACAGCTTTCAACTCTCTGTAACACTACATCACATTCTGAGAGCAAATTCAGACTGACTGCTGCCTTTCCCATTTCTAGTGTGTGTGTGTGTGTGTGTGTGTGTGTGTCTCAACACAGTGTAACAAACAAAAGGAGATAACATCACCAACCTGATGCTTTAACTTGCTGTTGAGCCTTGAGACCAGTTCAGGAAATGGGTTTTATTTTTTAAAGAGCCAGCATTTTTCCCACACTTCATCATCATGTCATCATCATCATCATCATCCTAGCCATCGTCGTCATCACATCATACAAAATAGCACAACACTGAATCCATAACAACGGAAATAAAGACAAATATTCAGACAGGTCATTTTGTACAACATACTGTCATAAAGTACAACACATATCATGACTTCACTATGTTGGTTTCTTTTATAAAAAATAAATATAACATTTACGATAGAAGCATGGTTTCACGGTGGTGTTCTGTTCTCTCTGTGTGATTGTGGTCGGTGAGGAAGCTGTGGCTGGTGGATGTTTTTCCAAGCAGTTACACCTAGTGCGTTCACAAGCCAGTGACCCATGCACAATGGTCAATGTACTTCACAATTTATGTACAATAAAGTAAAAAAAACAAACAACCTATGTACATAAAGATAGGGTCCATCAAACATATCTTCTAGTGTCCCTCCTGCACAATATCTTTTTGAATGACCTCCTAAAGTCGTTGTTGAAGATAGTGTAAATTATGGGGTTCAGTGCACTGTTACAATAGCCAAACCAGAAGAAGAACTTGAACAGGGTGTCGGGCACCGGGCACGACTCGCACAGTGTCATCAGCATGTATGTAAAGAAAAAGGGGAACCAGCAGATGACAAACACTCCAATAACCACAGCCAGGACGAAGGTGAAGCGTTTCTCTCGGTTCTGTCGACCCTTCCATCGGCTGCCCTTGGTGCTCGGCACCCGCTTTTGGATGTCATTGTCCCCCGGTTTGATTTGGCTCAGTTTGGTTTTCCCCTTGGATGCTTTCTTTTTGATCGAGCAGGGATTGTTCACCTTGTGGTCAGAGGAGGACGACTCCTCAAGATCTAACCCGTTCACCTCCCCCTTGTCCTCATCTGCTCCTCCTTCTCCTCCCACTCCCTCCCTCAGTTCGATGTCCCGATTGCCATTTAGCTTCTCATGGCACAGGCGGTCCTCAGCCTCACCTGCGTCCACGCCATTCTCTTTCTGGTTTGCAGCAGCGAGGGTGGCCGCCTTCGGCATCTCCTTCCGCTTTCTGTCTCCCGGGGGCGCCCGTGTCCTCTTTTTGGCGATCTGGTAGATCCGCACGTAGACCAGGACCATGATGACGCAGGGAAGGAAGAAGGACCCAATGCAGGAGGAGATGACGTACCACTTCTCATTATTGATCTTACACACACGGCCCTTCTCGCTGTTTTCTTTCTCCATGGTGATTAGAGGTGGGAAGGAGATAACGGCTGCGATGACCCACACGATGAAGATGATGCACTTGATGCGTCGTGGCGTCCTCTTCAAGTTGTACTCGATGGCCTGTGTGATGGACCAGTAGCGGTCTAAGCTGATGGCACAGAGGTGGGCAATAGAGGCGGTACAGAAAAGAACATCAAGCGCCAGATATATCTCACACCATACCTCCCCAAAGTACCAGTATCCCATGAGCTCATTGGCCAAGGAGAAAGGCATCACGAGGGTAGCCACCAAAATGTCCGCCGATGCTAGAGACACCAGGAATAAGTTCTGCGGAGCCCTCAGGGCCCGGCTTGTAAACACAGCTATGACAACCAGCACGTTGCCGAACACTATCAGCAGAATCATGATCCCCACCAGCACAGTGAGCGGCAGGGAGATCTGGAGGCTGTAAGGGGCCACGTCTGAAAGAGTCTGGTTGGTTTCGTTGTCAAACCCCATTGGAGCGGAATGGCCCACTTCCTATATGAGTTTACCTGAGGTTAACAAATATCATCACCAGGAAGGACAGAGCTAGTAGCTCACAGCAGGGCTGAGAAAGGAAGCAAGTGAATCACTCCTCTGAGGCTCTCCCGGACTTTTCTCTTTCATCATGTACAGGTTCCTCAAGGATAAACTCTTAACATTTATGTCAGTTCATCTGAAAATTTGAGACAACAAGAGCAAAAATCAGATTCATTCAATGCTACCTGCACTTTTCAATCAATTACAACGGGTATCTTTTTAATATTATTACTATTATTACTAGCACAAGCACTGTGTCATCTCTGTTCCCTGAATTACACTGAGAGAAAAAGCCAAATAAAGTGCGAAGTGGTCTTACCTGTGGTAAAGAGCGGTGAGACAACCTCTCCAGTGACGGAGACGCACGGGCATTAAAACAACTGTCAGTGGGCAACTTCTTAAAGCAGGTTAATAGGAAGCAAAGAAGATCCATGCAGCGGATGAGGTCTTCCCTCTGTGTCTCCTCTCTCTCCCCACACAATGGTCCCTGTGCTGCATCTAGTTGTGCTCAGTAGCGGACCTAATAGAGCGCTAATCATGTTATCCCGGGCGCTGCCGTGCTGCTGTCTGCGTGTGGAGTCTCTCTCCTCAGTGTTAACCAGTGCGCCACTCCCTCTCTTTATAGCCCGCACGCTGCAAAAAGTGTCACCGCTCACCGGGTCACTGTGCGTCCACGAGCGTGTCAACAGCGGCAGACATGTGGGTCTGACAACATGTGACAGCACAGACAATAACACCAGCTGGAAGCCTGTAGTCTAGTGAAGGAATTACAGGTGGAAAGGAGAGACACCAGCAGGGAGGACAGGGGGGAATAATTACACTGAATGTATTTATCCACACAGGGGACATACACAGGGGGACATACACAGGGGACAGGTACAGGTGGTGGACGGACATGTACACATTGGCAATGATGGTAATAAATAATAAATAAAAAAATAAAGTTTCTGGGGTTAAAGTATTTTTGTTATAGTTGTTTGTTTCTGTTGTTGTTCCTGTCACACATCTGCCACTGAGAAAAGGCTAGAGCTTAAGTTAATGAATATAAAAGGAGAGCTAATTAGATGATTAAGGAAAGTATATTTGTAGAGTACCTTTCAAGCACAGAGGCAATTCAAAGTGCTTTATATAAGGTGATGAAATGTATTTAAAAAACATAATAACAAAAAGAAAATGAAAATGAAATAAATAAAACTGGATTAAAAACATAACATTAAAAATACAGTAATAAGTTGCACTGAACTGAATGAGAGAAGTAAAGAAGTCAAGTTTTTATTTTGGATTTGAAAGAAGGTAAAGTTTGGTTATATTCAGATTCAGAGCTTGTAATTAAAAGAGAACGCTGAGAACATTTCTTGTGGTTGATCATAACAGTGTTAATTATATCTGGGAAGGTGTTTCCTGATGTTTTCAGTTTGATCAGGTTAAGCCTCATTTGAAGTTGGTTGGTTTCATTTTTTTATCTCTTTATACCCTTCACTTTATTTTCCATAAAAGGTGTGCAGGAATCAGTTTTCATGTTTTTTTTTAACCTGAGATGTATATGTCAACATTTAGGCTACTTGATTTGTCCTCCAAAACTCGAAAATTCCTGATGATGAACTATCAAAAAATACAATATTTAAACTACGGGACCTGTTGGGAAAGACATTTTTTGCAGTGCAGCTGCTGGACTCCGTTGCTAAGCAGCAGCCAGAGCCACACCACGTGGATATCAACAGAGGCGTTTTATTACTTTGCCCAAACTCAATCTATCTAACAACCTTTTACACTTCATGTCCAACACACGGGGGCCGCAAACTCAGACTGATCCATTGACCTGTATTTGGTGAAGATTTGCCCAAAGGAAACATCTGACACGGTACTTTGGTGTTTACAGATATGACTTGGGAGCAGCAGTGATACAGGCAGGCGCAGGCTATTATTCATCCTCCCTGTGCTGAGGTCTGAGTATAAAAATGTAATCCCTTGTTGGGGGGGTTTTGTCAATATGTGGCCTTAAAATTCCTGAAAAAGGGTCAGTGCATGACTTCTCTAAGTACAGCTTGAAGATTCATAACCTGATCTGCGGTCGTTGAATTCAGTGACAGTAACAAGGCAAATATTTAATCTGACATTCACTTGCCCAGTGCTGTTTAACTAGATCATATTTAGCTGTCAAAGGAACGTCATGTCTCTGAATAACAAGCTCAATCGTGTTTACTTTCTCCACATAAATAAGGTGTGGTTGGTGATGGTAGACACGCAACAGTTAGAGTATTCTTATCTCTAAAAAAAAACAATGAATTATTTCCTAATTATTGATTAGACCTTTTTAAGCGACACAAAGTGTAAGAGTTTTTCATTTCTATCAGTTATTGTAAAACAAAGATTGCAAAACCTGCTAAATAACCAAATAGCTTAATAGTTATTAAAATGATTTTTACATTTACACACATTTCAACTCATGAACAGGTTCAGTTTAACAGTGTCAGTGTCAGCCGTGAAGACAAACTACTTAATTTAACACTGTTTCCTCTCCTTTTATGGATGGAGTTCACACTGATGGTTACTTTGCATCCTGTCAGCAAATCAACAAAACAGAAACATTTCGTAATATTTCAAACATCGAGGGATTTATCCGTTTCCAAACTCCCAGAGTTTTTCCTGGAACTTCTTACCACAAACGCTCAGACTCTCAGTTACACAATTTAATGCAATATTTGGAGGAGAAACTTCCTGGATACTGTGGGAGGACATAGAGTACCCTCCTCGTCATCAGTCTGTACTGGACGTGGTCACATTCAGTAAATGACTGTGTCGTATCCACAGGGTCAAAGTGGCCTCTAGTTTTGTAATGATGTTGACTCCATTACATTTATATCAGCTGTACACAACCACGTTTACTTCAACATCTGCCTGGCCATGATTATGTGCCTTTGACATTACATTTCCTCTGATGGTATTATTCAATTTCTGTTCAATATTCAATATTCTGTTATGCAGTTGCTTTTGAACTGATATGATAATATGAATACATTTAAAATAAAATGGCTTTTTAAGACTTTGTTGACTGCAATTTCTACTCTCAATTTTGGTAACACTTGATTTTACTGGGGTTTAATTTCCACATATGTTACCTGGAAAGAACAATGTTAATTAGTACTAATTATAAAGAAAACAGTACAAAAACAGTAGTGGTACTTTTCCAGTTAATTAATTAACATGCAATGCAATTGTGAATGTTAATAATAAATAAGGAATAAATAGACTAATGGATGAATATATACTTGGTTTTATTTATATATCATTACCTGGGGTCTTTAGCAACATGGGACTATGTTACACACTCTAATTGATCCATTTAATTCAGTCAAAGTTATGGTGTCACACTGTCACAGTATCATGATGGTGCAGCAAAGTGTCAGGTTTAGTGCAGAGCAGCATTTTCTTGGATACTGGAGAGTTTTCATGACAGCAGCAGTATCTGAGGCTGCTGATGATGAGGAATTTGTCTGTGTTTATGAATCAGATTATCTAAAAGCAGACCTGGATAATAATAATAATAATAATAATAATAATAATATTTAATATGTTCTGAAAAAGTTTACAAGCAATATTATTCCAATATGGTTTAATCTAAGTTATATAGCCTACAGTGCTGAGGTATGCATGCTTTTCTTTAACAGAAATTCATATTCTCCTATAATTTGTCTTTACAGGAAACCCATAAAATAAAGCAGTACCTCTCATTTTTAAAACGTAATACTAATACTGTACTAATGTAACTGTAAACTGATAAAATAAACTAAATCAAGTTTGTCTCTATGGTGAGTGCGAGCGTGAGCAGGACGTGCACCTGAGCGTGACCGTGCGGAGTGACGTCACTCACACCTGTCCTCGCAGGAAACGGAGGCTGACCCTGTCCTCCTTCCACTGAGCAGAATAAGAAGACATTTCAAGATCTGTAAGTGACATTACTTTACATTTTGCAGCAAATGCGTCCTAATGGATTATTTGATGTTCTCTGTCCCAGCACTAATTGCCAGGTGAGCTCTTAACCCGCAAAGTATCTGAGGAGCGGGGGAAGTGAGTGAATATTCAAAGCGCCCACCTGTGATCAGCCTGATTATCCCGTCTTTCCAGGCAGGCTAACAAAGTAGACGGACAGATTGTGTTGGGGTAAACATCAGTGTTTGGCCGTGGCGCTGGTTGATGAGGGCGCAGGCGAAGCGCAAGGATACAGTGACACCTGTCGTCTCCTGCAAGAGCCTCCCCGCTTCAGAGGGACGGCTCCGTGGGAAAATGATGTTTACAGAGGTGACGGCAACTTAGAGGATGAGGAATTGTAGGTCAGTGCACTCAGGGTTTTTATATTTTAGGTTAGTTACTTTTGTTTGTTTACAGGTATGAGCCCCGATAAGGGCGAGGACGAACAGAGGAAATCGATCCGCCACAAACACAATAGAGTGAAACGAGACGAGATGACTCAGTTAATGTGCCTGACAGAAGTGACCCTCACATGGTAGTGTTATAATAACCTTCAGCCTGCACGGTAAAGCTCCCAGGAGCAGAGAAACACAGGCAGCTTCATCCTTCCATTATATAAGACTTTAATTGACCAGCAGGGGGCGGTGTTGCACTGGAGCAGAGACAACTCAGGCCACTAAAAATAAGAGCACAGGGAAAAAATATATACACACATTTATTTGAAACATACCTGTGACCCACTGCTCTTTATAGCATCACATATTCTTTATAGCATAAGTGATATATAAACAATGGAAACCCAAATCAATGGGAACAGATACGGCTTATTGACAGAGTGTGGAAAGCAACTTTGTATATATGTGAGAAATATAGACAGATTGGACAGGAGCAATCTATTTACTTCATAAAGTAAGTTTATTCACTGAATGATACTTTTGTAACTAAACAAAAAATGAATGAATCAATAATATTTCCAAGAGAAGAACCAGTGCAGCTCCATGGTGACACCTAAACTATTACATTTTTGATTTTTAGAACAAAAGCATATTTTTGAGGTATGTTTAGATTTTGTAACTGAGTTTAGTTGATTTAGTTTTTGTTAAATGAATGTTCCACTAAAAACAAGGATATAATTCAGTGTCTGTAACTGGATGAACTTGTTCACCTCAGAAAGGCCCGACCTTTATGTTTCAGCTCTACGGCTGAAATCCCTTTGAAATGTTGCCAATAATGAGGGTTTGATTCAAACTGTAAGTGAAGTAACTGCTAACTTATTTTCATACTTTATTCAATGTACATTTTACCCCTTCTAAGTTTCTTACTTTTATACTTTTAAGTAGGCAACTTTCTTCTATGATGGAAATGTCAGAATACTTTCTTTAAAGGAAAACAAAATAATTGATAAAAAGCTTTTTAATTGAATAAAAAGATTTTCAGGTTTTTCAAAATGTGAAAATATTCCTAAAAGTCCCTTTTGAAATAAATTTAAAAAATCTAATTTAATATTTTCTTGTAGGAAGCATGAAAGTTGAGAGGCACCTCATAAGTTCAACAACACAAAACCTGTTGAGCATCAACTGTTCTGTTTCATCGTGTGCTGTTTGTGCCGTTTAGTGAAACTGAAATATAT